AATATGGTCATTTACACATTTGAAGGTGCACGCACAAACGCTTCGTCCCAAATTAACCTAACAGACATTCACAACAAATAGTTTTTCCAAAAGAGATTATTAAATAACCCAAAATATATATGCTTTGATTCAATCAAATTCTCTTGCATATTTGAACTGATTTGAAATACAGATTGAGAGCACTGGTATCCGATGATAGGTAAGGTGACAAATCGTTAACACGCCCACCCCCACCCTCCCTCAACCTTTACAAATCACCATCCCTCCCCACACCTATTAAGTCGCTGTGGTATGGTGATATCATGTGTGATCTCGACCGCACACCTCTGAAGGGAACTATAGGCATTACCGAGGGCTGAAGGGTGTTGATCCATTAATTACCTGATTACTTCAGTGCCTTCACTGTAGTAGTATATACAATGGGGCTACGGGACCAGGTCCCCCCAAGGGCTCAATTTAAACAATTGAGCCCTTGGGGAGGCCCTCATCCCGTAGCCCCATTGTATATATACTACTGAGTTGCATGCAAAATTTGACGAAAATCGGTCGAATAGTTTCTGAAATATTGACTTTTAAGTGAGCATGGGGTCGGTCGGGAAAAGTCAAGGCCGTTGATTCACACACACACAATGATGACAATTATCATACAGTGAGTGAGTGAGTTAATGTTTATCGTCACATCGCCAATATTTCAGCCATATCGTGACGAGAACATTTTATAATTATATTAAAGATGAATAAAGTTAGAAATTAAAAAAACTGTTGACGAAGAACAGTAAAATTACTAGTGTATCACAGATATCCATTTAAAACTAGCAATTAGATCTAAAATATTGGAACTATAAATGACGATACACTATAAAAACAGGCTGTAGATTGCTAACGACTGAAGGTAGATCACCCTACTAGGGACCATGGAGACTTACAGTACATTTGCTTCCTGCATGGACCCTAGCTGGATTTACACCATCCCTTCAGCTGTCAGCAAGTTTACACAATTTAGCCATAAGTTAAAATAACACATATTCTACGCTTAAAAATAATGGTATGTTTAAATTAACTTTTAATGTTTTGGGACTTACGTACCCCCAGAGGAGGACAATAATTTTACAATGCTTCAACCCCCTGTGAGGATACAGCCACTAACAATCTCAGCTGCTCAACTAAACTACCAATTTTAAAATATTTATCTGTTTACACTTCATTCAACAAATCTAATTCTTTTAAAAAAGCAATAACTAAATGAGAACTGATATTATTAAAAAGATCCTTCATCGTTCGTGATTTGAAATAGTTATCCCTTGTGATGGAATATTCAATACAGTCGAGCAGGACATGCTTGACCGTGAATCTTTCATCACAAGGGATGCAAAACGGAGGATCATGAGTATATCTAGTATGGCCAATACGACATAGTCATATGATGACCTCTTCAAATCTAGACTGACAACTCAAGTAGGTATAACCAACATAAGGTTTTATTGCATGTAATTTATGAAGTCCCACTTGAGTGTCCCACTTCTTCTGCATCAAATCTCGGATATAACATCTGATGACGGCTTTATAATCAGAGTATGGAATAAGAAGTGGTGTCACAGATTTGTTGAGTGCTGCCTTGGCAGCAAGATCGGCCATTGTATTCCCAGAAATGCCAACATGGCTGGGTAACCAACAAAAGACGATGTCGCATTGGCCAGTAGCAAGCTCATTATATAATTCAATAATTTCTATTAAAAGTGGATGTTTACAAGAAAGATTTTTTATAGCCTGAAGGCAAGAAAGAGAGTCAGAAAAGATGATATATTGTTTATGTTTAGGGTGTCTTTCAATATATTTAAGAGCTGTTAATATGGCGTTTGCTTCGGCTGTAAAAATAGAGCTGTTATCCGGTATTCTAGGAGATATTGTTCTCGATCCAATGACAGTGGCACAAGCCACCGCGCCACCATCCTTGGACCCATCTGTAAATAAGGATCTATATGCATTATATTTACTTTTTAGTAGATTACATTCTTGTTTATATTGTAATTCATTAGTTTCGGATTTTTAAACGTTGTCAGTGTTAGGTCAACTTGTGGCCTCACTAATTGCCAAGGAGGAGAAGAAAGAAGACCGGAAGGGGGTATATTTTCTAGCTCAATGCCAGCAGCGGAAAGGAAAGGTTTGATTCTTAGTCCTAGAGGTGGAACAAGAGAAGACTTTTTATTGTACAGATCCTCATAAAGAGGATTGAAAACACAGTCAAATGCAGGATTAGACTCGTTAGAATAGAGTTTTGTTATATACTGTAAGGATAATTTCATACGACGTTGGTTAAGTGATGGCTCATCTGCCTCAACATAGAGACTGTCAACAGGAGAAGTTCTAAAAGACCCAAGACAAAGTCTTAGGCCATGGTGGTGAATAGAATCTAATAGTTTTAGGTTGCTGTTGCAGGCTCCACCATATATGATGGAGCCATAATCAAGTTTGGAGCGGACTAGTGATACATATAGGTGTAGGAGGGTAGTATGATCCCCTCCCCACTTTGAATTAGAAACTACCTTTAATAAATCCAGTGCCTTCAGGCATTTATTTTTAATGGATTTAATATGCGTCAGAAAAGTTAAATGGGAGTCGAAAATTAGACCAAAGAACTTGGCCTCCTTGACGAATTGGATTGGAGTGCCATTTAAATTTAGTTCTGGGTCCTTATGCGGCTTATATTTTCTACAGAAGTGAATACAATTAGTTTTTGACTTAGAAAATTTAAAGCCGTTTTCAAGACACCATTTATTTATTTTGTTTAAACACAATTGCAGCTGCCGTTCAATAGTATGCATATTTTTACCACGACAAGAAATATTAAAATCATCCACAAACAGCGACCCATCGATTGAATCGTTTAAAACCTTGGATAAACTGTTGATCTTAATGCTAAATAAGGTAACAGACAAAATGCTGCCTTGTGGGACACCCTGATCCTGATTGTAATGATCAGACAGGGTAGAACCCACGCGGACTTGAAATTGCCTGTCATTTAAAAAGTTAGATATAAATTGAGGCAAACGGCCTCGTAATCCAAAGTCATGTAAATCGTGTCAAATGCTTCATAAGATCGACACTGCATGTTGTTTATTAATTATGGCATTCTTAACGAAAGATTCTAAACGCACTAAATGATCGATAGTACTTCTGTTTTTACGGAAACCACATTGTATATTTGTTATTAGATTATTGGTTTCCAAGTACCAAACAAGTCGATTATTTATCATGCGTTCCATGGTCTTGCAAACACAGCTAGTTAGTGAAATGGACCTATAATTGGAAGGATCAGTATGATCACGTCCAGGTTTAGGGGATAGGAACAATTATAGCATCACGCAACGACGAAGGAAAGTTTCCAGACGACCAAATATCATCAAAAATATGTAAGGGGGTCTCTAAACATGAGTCTGGTAAGTGCTTCAGGAGCTGATAATGAATGTTATCGGACCTAAAGTCCACCATATAGTTTAAAAATATAATTTGTGCAAATACAAGTAATGCACAGGGCTCGACATGACCAGCCGATTGGTTGAACCGGGCCCATTCAACCACCCGTCTAGGTGAAGTAAGGGGCGAAGTGGTGTGTGCGGCAAAGGAACATTGTTCCTGGAACCAGTGCCCTCAACCACCAGACTCCCGTCCTCCACCAACACAGGGGTGCAACCCACGGCAAACGTTGTTGTTGTTTGTTGTGTTTGATGCTTTTGAGGTCGCCTTCGCCGGTTGGCATGTCGGCAGACGGCAAACGGGTTGGTGGACCAAATATACCCCCGGGTCCACAACGGGGGGTCGAAGAGCGCTTAGCGTTACCCAGAACGCACCACGAGGAGGTGGCTCTTCACGGGTGCCTATGGCTGGTAGAACACCTGTATATGTTATTCATGGTCGTCTTACTAATCAGTACTATGTACAGTGACAACACCCTGGAGGTGTACTTAGTGCAATCTGCACCAAACACACCGTCCTCTCTCAACGTACTTGGCGCTACTCTTCAAGAAGAATGGGATGAAACAAGCCAAGCTGATGTTGGCCGTTTGTATAGTTGAAGCCTCGTCCAATGCGGGAGTGTCTTGAGAATAGAGGTTATAGTGATAAGTTTGACTTCGTGTAGTGAATGATGTGATAAACTGTAGCTTATCATATGACAATATCTATGGTCATTTAACGTTCAACAACAAATGCATATCTCCGCCAGATTTCCTGTTACAATGTTAAACTATTTATCACTTTGAAGATTTGAAATATCTATGGTGGTGACACCTTTATATCGAATGTCCCCTACTTTTTGTAATAGTGTATATTGATATTTCATGCTTATTCTATTCCATGAGTTGCGAAGACTAGGAGTGGAACTTGTGGGTTGTTTTGTTTTTTTGGCACTAATGTCGTTAAATGTTTTGTGCAGTCTGAAGAATTAAAATCGTTTGTCAAGTGTCTGTAGATCATTTCACCTCTCGCTGCTTTATTTAAGGAGTTTCAACTTAATTCACGAAAAGAATTGTCTGCTCTGTTTTTATTGTATTTAGATATTCTTCATAAAAGCCTTAGCTAGAAGGTCAAAGGGTAAAGCAAGATGATTTGTGCATTTGTTAATTATATCAAAGGTAAAACATGCGAGTCCAACCATTCTCCAATATCTACATCCAGAGTGCGACTTGTTGAGTGCTGCCGTCATGCCATTTGCAAAGTCCAGATGAGCGGTGGGCGATCGTCGAAGGTATTTATTGTTATTTACACCTTCAGAAATCACTGAACCGATAGTACAGTCCTATTCTAAACCAGACATCTGTTTTGGAAAGCTTGTCACCCTTTGTGGCAATATATAGATACGTACAGACATCTCTGTAAACGGGCAATTGGTTTGAACACTGTAAAAGCAATGCTTGACTAATCGTGATGAATAAATTAAATTTATCAAGCCCTTATCCCACACAAAATACATTCAGAACTCGGTCACCTTACCTCAGTTCGTGATCGGAATACCCACAGTGCCCTCTTTCTTGTCATCCCAGGTCTTGTCGATAACCGTCCATTTAACGTTGTAAGATCAACCATTCTCTGTCTTCCAGTAAGTACACACAGTCCGTCTTTGTCTCGTGTGATTGACATCAGTGTTCTATGTGTAATGTAACCAAGTCTGGCTTCTGGTTTTCGATGTTTACAACGTCCAACTGATGTGTTCGGAGGCTGCACGAGCTCGTAATTGTAGACTTACTATTCATGATAATATAGTTTCAATAATGGCTTCTATCACGTTTGATCCTGTCACATATTGTACAGATGGGTCGTATTCATAAATATTCTTAGACCGTTTAGAACGTCTGAAGTCTAAAACATTATGAGAAACACAAAAATGTACACTTTAATCTGAAGATGTTCTAAGTCATATTCAAAAAATGCTTTGAGGGTTATGGGTATTTGAGATGACTTTTTGAGAACGTCCTTAAGTCTTCAAAATGGCCGCCACTAACTGCTGGTGTTTGTCTTCAAGGTAATTATCATGTTCATTCAATATGCTACTACCATTTCATAACGAATCATTTGGGAACAAAGAAAACGTTCAGCATGCAAACTTTATTGAAAACCCTTTATAATTCAAGCTCTGATGCCGAAGACAACCATTCACATTCGATCTATTAATTTATTGTGTGGGTCTGATTGGATCTGATACTGATATCTTTAACGTTGCAGTTGGTCAAAGTTCTTACTAAAGAAGTGACCCATTCCATCTCAATGATGGTTTGAGTATATCGGGCAGGGAGGGTAGCCCAGAGGACAATGTGTTTCTTCGTCACGTCGATGGCCTGTGTATATTTACTCACTTGGTTGCTTTGAAGACATTATTAGATTTAATATGCGAGCACCTGACAATTAAATGATCCTAACATGCTTAAATCTGAAGTTACCAACATGCTGCAAGCACAATATAAATGTATTCGAGGATAGCAGAGTTATATTTGGATTGACTCGTGAATATCCGGGTTAGAAGTGATCTTCAGCAACCCATGCTTGTCTCAAGAGGAGACTAACGGGATCGGGTGGTCAGGCTCACTGACTTGGTTGACACTTGTTGCGTAGATTGATGCGTATGCTGTTGATCACTGGATTGTCTGGTCTAGAGTCGATTGTTTAGAGACCACAGCCATATAGCAGGGATATTGCTGAGTGGGGCGTTAAACAACAAACAAAATATGTGTGGCCGTCGAACTGCTTCCCCTCAGTACAGTGTGTGACAATATTGTCTGTGAACGTAATGACATTCATAATTGAGAGCTGCAGCGTCTATGGGTAAAATGTTGTCAACGCTCTCAAAACACTCATGTGAAAGCCGTCACTCTTCGATATTGTCACAGCGAATGCGTAAATCTTTTGAGGTTAGATCTAAAAGACCATATAATCTCAGTCAGGTTGGATGAGCTGGGTTATTAATGGCCTATCAATAGGAAATTAAATGTGGTTGCGCGTGGTTTTGTAAAAGAAAAAAAACGGGAGTGAGTTTAGCTTTATGCCGCTTTTAGCAATATTCTTGCAATATCACGGCGGAGGACACCAGAAATGGGCTTCACTCATTGTACCCATTTACGGAACCGAACCCGTGCCTTCGGCGTGACGAGCGAACGCCTTAGCCACTATGCTACCACAAATACTTGACTCGGCCGTTGTCAACAACATCTAATAAGAGAACGCTGTAAGGGTAGGTAAAAAGTTGCCACATTTCTACAAGCTGCGCAGAAAACTATTGATGCAGTAAGATTCCGTCTTTGGACTTAGACAAAGCCTCTGTGAATATATCTACATAGCTCTTGACCCTCAGATTTCATGGCACTGACTGTCTGAAAGACGCTAAAATCACCGTCAGGTCGGTATTCATTGCTTCATGAATGCATGTTTTTGAGTAGCAATCCCAGCTGCGAGGGAGTGTGATTGTGTTTGAATAGTATTCCGGTCACGGCGAGACACCTTGATGTCAGAGTAAACCATAGAATAATACAGGGCTCAGATCTTTACCACAATACTTAAACTATTGAACACACGATGAAATTTGCCAAGCCTACAAACACAATTGGGGCAAACAGGATTCGGACTCACTATCAAGGGTTTCTGACTTGCCCCGGGACAGCAACTTTGCATAGCACTAGTCCAGTTCCTAAGACGACTGAACCTCTGGGATACGACCCAAGATGTATATATAAGGGGAGTTGGGTAGCCTAGTGGTTAAAGTGTTTGCTGGTCACGCCAAAGACCCGGGTTCGTTTCCCCACATAGATACAATGTATGAAGCCCATTTCTGGTGACAAATTTTGTTGAGCATTATAATAAATCTCATCTGAGTCGATTGTTCACATTACAAAAGGATTTAATCTGTGACACAATAGAAATTATATTTCATGTGCCCAAGCACCTCTCGTTTATTCAGCGTCATGACCAAGAATCAGAGAAGACCGGTAGTACTTACTGCCTTCCCACATGACCACATCAACACCTTCCTACAGCAGCAGGAACCACGACTTGACCTCCGGCGGGTTCTACTGAAACAATGGTGTAAGTGTATATGGATTTGTCTCGATTTGTATTTGAGTCTCAATCAGTGTGTGAAGTCCCAGTACATTTGATGATCACGTCACGCTGACTTTGTGTGCTGGCCGGGAGTGTGTGTACGAATCCCGCATGGGACTCAACCTAACAAAAGTAGTAGAATCGGTCCCTTATTGAGAAAGTGTAATTCCAAATATAACATATGTTTGGTCACCTGAGACTCTTTGCCCGTCGTTTAGTTTCAGCGCATGTAAGTGATGATTCAGGGTTATAAACAAACGATGTATACATAACAACACTGTGTGTCAGGCGTAACTTGTAATACTTCACCTTCTAGAAACATCGTGGATCGGTAAGTCAGAACGTAACTAGTATAATATGTTATGAAGTAGTGTGTACTGTTTTTATTGAACCACTCTGAGTCATGTAGTATTGTGTACATATTTTTTATCGAACCACTGATATCAGTTGTAAAGTAAAGTGTGGAGGTTTTCTTTATTGAACCACTGCTACCAACTGTGTAGTAAACTGTAAAGGATTGTTGAATTACTGATACTGTATCGCAGTGTGTACATGTTTGTAACCACTGTATAGTGTTGTGTTTGGGTTCCCACGGGACCATAGATACACATATAGGTCGAGCATAGAGTCTGAATGAATCACCTACATCCACAGTGTAGCAATATGCTTGTTTACCAAGATATTTTTAAACAAATTATTGATATCAACGAGACACTGTTAAGTAATGAACCTTGCATATCAGCAGTGGAGCAATCTGCGCAGATGATTTACTAATGCACTCCTACTAGAGTAGCAGTGTGTACTGCTCATATCAACAGTATAACGATATGTTTCTGTGACAGGGAGCTCAGAGTATCTCCAGACCCCGGACAGAACCTACTGGAAAGATGTAGAAGTCTACTTTGGATCCTCAGTACACGTGTGTCAGAACTTACACCTGCTGCCCAATCTGAGGTGGATCCAAACGGCGGAGGCAGGTGAGACTAGATGACGGAATCCCGACACACAGACACCAACACCACCACCACATCCCCAGGAAATTGTAACTAACATGTTGGACGACGTTCTGCACTCTTCAGTAGCACAGATAGCGAATTGAGACGCCTTCCCTTTTCAGTTGTGTTATGCAATTAATGTTTAGTGTACCCTCCAATGCACGGCAGCTGCTTGTGTTCTTTGAATAAAACTAAATACTACATGTAAACTTCCACATAGATTTCATTCATTCCAGGAGTTGATGCAGTGCTGAAGATCAAACGGGACGTAAGTAATCATTCTGAAAATACTTAAAAGTCGAGTCGTTTTTGTCAGGCCTGAGTTGCTGGTGTGAAAGCCTATTTATGCTGCCATTAACATCCTGATTCAGCTGCCACCCGGCATCACGGTGACCCGTAACGCCATGACGTTCCAATCTCCGATCTCCCAGTATGTCATTGGTCAAATCATCTCTGCCAACATGAACTTCCGACACTTTCAGAGGCAGCAAAACCAACGCACGTGGGACAGGCATGTGTACATCTTAGACATCACTTATAAATGTCTTATGTTAGAGCTTGATAACGTAGATTAACCACTGATATACCTTTAGGTAGAATCCCAATTTTGCATATCACCTTATTTCCGGAAAGTTCCTCGTATGTACTACATGTGACTTACATTGATCAGAAAATAACTCAAACCACCATTGTCTTAATCTGGCCTTACCCAGGACTCCTGACATCACTTTACTTACCTTCCCTTGTGCATCCATAAATCAGGATATAGACATTTCACGATATGACGCCATGAGTCGAAGATGTCAAAACTCGGAAATATATAGTCTATACGAACAGAACTGTCTTCACTACCCGCATGATCGATGCTGGCTAAACTATTAACAAACAGAAATGGTTATTCGATGAGAATGTATACAGGTACAGGTATAGTTACCGTAAACGTTCTACTCTTAACTTGGCAATGTTTTGCTGACGATATTCAACCTTGTAACGTTTTGAAAATGTTGTAATTAGTTTGTCAAAACATTTTTCAGATGTATACTTTCTTTTCACCGGAGTTGACTAATATCTCTGAAACAACATGTAGAGGTTGTTGAAAACATCTTTCAGAACAACCCCCGATTCTGGATTGAAGCACCTCAGCTCGTGTACGGTGGGGATACTGGGACTGGGAGCTATTGGCAGCGAAGGTAGACAAAACTCAAGAAACTTGTCCACATTATTCACCTTTCTATCGGATATTTGATTACACTGTTGAAAATAAAAAGCACTGATTAAAGAATTGTCTCAATGAAAATACCTCAGTATGCAAACACGATCTCTTCACTTCGCTTTTACAGCAGATATAGCCAAGGCGATAAAACCCTTTCCATTTCAATAAGAAATCCACTGATAAAAGCTGATTCGATTGCATTAACTATATCACAAGCATGTGTTTATGAATCACAATCATATACTGATGATACCGGGTGTTCGCGAAAAGGTGAGCATACTCCGTCCCTCTGGTAGTGACAAGGCTAGCGACAATGGTGTCATTCTTTGTCACTGTTTACCTGGAGGATGTCGATCAAATACATTTGTACATAACGACATTATATATTCAAATGTTATCTTAATAGTCAATGACTATTTGAAATAAACTGCAGTTTGTATACGTTGTGTTTGGGTTTTCAGTTGCCCGTGCATGTAAATACTGGGATATGACTGTGTGGGGTTTGAAACGATCTGAAGTCAAGGAAGAAGACAGGAAGACATTTGTGGATGAGTACAGGTATAACATAAGGATGTTCTTCTGTATGTCTGCGTAACACTGTGTGAGGTGGAGTCTTCCCACTGCGGTAAGATGTTGATGCTTTAAATGTACAGTGCGCTAAATGACACTCTGACGTCTTAGGGACCTCTCTTTGTACAGTTAGGATTTTCATTGACAACGACAGTTCTTTCCTGTAGAAAGGGTAGAAAATAAGCTATATGTACGTTTTTAGCACAAACAACCATATATTATCTACCCGAGTTACTGTAGCATATCTGACTGGAACTCATCCAGAAAAACCTGTGATCTACATGATCTCCTATATTGTACATGTTATATACAGACAACAATGTGAACTACTCGATCTCCTGTCGCCTGTAAAGTGCATGTTTCATATAAAGACAACCATGTGATCTGCTTGAACTACTGTCCTCCTGTGATTTCCTGGTCAACATTCTACCGTCTACACCTGAAACTCGGGGTCTTCTGAGTGGAGACGTGCTTTCCCACTGTAGGAAGAAGGTAAGGAGAAATGAAGCTGTGGGTCACCCTTTCTTCTGCAGTCTCCATCCAACAGCTCATGATGTCGTGCAGGATGATTTTGTTTGTATTTCTATTCAAATGTATGCCAAAATACAAACATACAAAACACATATAACATTATACATTGTGAAATGAAATAAAACAAATCTTTTGTATTATAAATACTTTGATGTGCTGTTAAATAATTTATGTATCTTGTGTGTGTTTTCAAAGCTAGATTTAAACCTACCAGGTTTCAAACGTAATGTACGTATTGTATGATGTGGAGTCATCATCTTCAACAGCCTCTGTTCATCAACGTTGGACGCGGAGACATAATTGACGATGAGAGTCTTCTTTCAGCACTCAGGTAATCATTGTCATTCCGATATATTCTGCAGGCTTTCTGTAGTACAGATTAGATCCTTGTCACCACGAGTAAGTCGTGAAGATGTGGAATATTGTGTTTTGTCCATGTAATGGGATGAATAAAGGTAATCATTGTCATTCCGATGGTATCCATGCTACACCTCCCTGGTAAACCTCAACCATGGATCCATCCTCGAAGTCACTAATTATCGACATGCGTGAATGTTAAAAGATGACAATAGAGCTTACTATCACAGGTGATCTTTTCCCATTGACACATAATACTATGGAGACTATATGTGTTTAGAGGAGGATGGCTGTCGGGGGCTGTGCTGGACATCTTTACGGAGGAGCCCTTGTCTCGAGATAGTCCTCTGTGGGGAGAGAGGGACGTGGTGATCACACCCCACGTATCTAACCAAAGTGATTGTATGGACTCATACAAAAAGGTACACTTAGTAATACAAACACTCTGAGATCTTTAAGTTGTGCTGTAGAACAATGACATTCATGTAGTGGAAATGCACTTCATGATGATTTGTTCTCTATTCCGTGAAAGGCAAACTGGCGGTATTCGTTTGTTGTGTAATTTTCCATCTTCATGATGTCGGTCTGTAAATAGTCGAATCTGGACTAAAACTCCAGTGATTGACATCATGAGCACCGAAATATGAAGTGTATCTCATACCCCGATCTAGTTAGTTGCCTCTGACGAAGATCAATCGTAACCCTGACCTGTACGTGTGTACAAACGCAGTAACAAGCATATTAACACAATGCCATGATACTACGACCTGTTTAAAATTGAACATGACAACACCATGCTTATCGCATGTATTAATTATATTGTTCTTTGCAGCTGGCGTCCATGTTTTTGGCCAACTATAATCGTTACCTGAACGGACAAGCACTGGAGAATGTTGTAAACATTGACAGGGGATACTGAACGATATGTCTACTGAAGCACGTGGTCGGTTCAGCGTTTCTGTTGGGTTGTTGATTTGACAGTTACATTCAAACGTAACAGTTCACTTTAATGCCGGTGACTGCGAGCACTTGGACTTTAAACTCTTTGAACGATTTGTTGGATATTTCAGCGTTATTATATACATGTTTTACGAGTGTTTACGTTCAGAAACAATCCCGAGGAGCAGTGCTAAATTTGATATAAACACCGGAATCCATTGATTCATGAATTTGGGGAAACGGACATATAATATATCGTGCCTGTATGCAAGCATTTGCAAAAGAGCTTCTCATGTATCAAGTGCATACGGTTAGCTTAAAGTGGCTGTTTTCCTAAAGATATGTTACCATATGAATATTTATCCAGTTTAAATGGATACAATTTCAAATTATAAATCTACGTATAAGTTAAGTTAGCAAAGTGTGAGTAGTATATATGGACATTGTAAAAACGTTTTGCGTTGTTTCATCACCTATTTAAATGACATAATAAACACTACAGGTGTGTTACTCGATGCTGTAAACGGTTGTGAATAATAAATTGTGGCCGCAGATATTTGTCAATATTCGACCTCTTTGTGATTCTTGTTACTTCATCAAGGCAGTTGAATTACAACACATGTTCACTATAGGTATGTCTTATGAGAAGAGACTGTATCAAATACGAGCGCTTATCTGAACGTCCTTCGTGCAATACACAAATGATACTGTTCGCGAAGAACACTTAGCTTAACATCTCAAATCAGTTAGACGTATGAACTGATGTTATTATTTTTAAATATCATCTCGTTTGTGCGAGTGACCTTGGTATGCTGGATAGATCGCTCGGGCTACTTAGTAAAGCAGTCAACAATGCCAGGATTAACTGATCAACCCCAGGTTGCCGCATGGATATGCTCAGTTTTATAACACAGTCTGTGTCCTGTGTCATCGGATCGCATGGCCCCAGGGTTGGACCACGCCCCGATTGCTGAAACAAACTGAAGTCTGAGTTTTGACTTAAGTTTGAGTTTGTTCTCAAATTTGAGAAAACATATTTCCCAGAATGAGCTGAAATTGATATTAACATCAAATATATCAGACTCTTTGAGTTTAATGGACATATTACTTATTTTTTTGCTCTTTTTTTATTTCAGACATGCAGTTAGGTTAAGAATTCAGCTGTTCCAAATTGCCAGTTTGAAATTTGAGTAAAAACTTAAGTTTGTTTCGAGAAATCGGGGCCAGGGTTCATAGTATATTCTTGTGGTAGAACACAGAAATGGTTTTGTTTATCTACATCAGTCATGGTTATATCCCCAAATGATCTAAAACAGAACGTATTTGATCATTTGATTAATTGTTAATTTAGACAATTTGGAATTTGAGTATTTGCACACAAGGCTCAGGTTTGTGCTTCATGCTCAGCAAGGATTTTGTTTCATTTGTAGTTAGCCTCATCATCAGCTGGCATATTTCAATTACATCTGTATTTTAATTACGTTGTAACGCTACGTGTTTCTGCAAACGGAAAATAACCTTTTAGTGATGAGAGCCTATCAGTGTCACGTGAGTCTTGTCGCATCAATTCAGAACACCTACATCAATGTGACAGGCGAGCATATCATGCGCATCGTGTAACCGATAACAATAGCAATGTACAAGACCGATAGGGTTAAACAAAACTATACACTTTGTATGTATACAGTCATTGTATATGTATTGACATTTAACAACATTGGACAAATGCTAGTTCATAGATTTCGCCAATTTTCTTATGAGTTCAGCAACTTCGGAGGGTTTTCTGTTATGAACTTTGATCCCATAGTATATGATGGAACCAATGTCAATGACCACGCCTACCCGGACAAGACAACGCCTCCTATTTGCACAGCTTTAGCCCCAGTACTCAGAGCTTGAAAAGCTTCGTCGCCTTCTTTGGCTAGATTTTCCCCTACATCTACGACCTTTGCTGCAGCGGTTCCCTCCCCTTGCAGTCCCTCCACTACGTCCTTGACATTGTTAGCCGCTGTCATCAACTTCTTGATGCTGGCTATGGTGTCTACAAGTTTGCGACCGTCTGAAATAACACTACTTATTGTCATTTCCATTTCAGTGTTATCCTTCAATGATTTCCACACCTTCTCCTGGTCCTCATCAGGTAGCAGTTTACAAAACGATTCCAAAACATGCGAAAACGATTTGATTGAATCTGAATAGGCCTGAACAGCTGCCTTGGCCTCCTTCAACTTTTGGTTTTTCATGATCTTCTCTGTGATCGTTGTCGCCAGTCCTCCAACCCCGCTGACGGCGGATATACCCGACCCTACAGCTGTCAGGATGAGGGAAGCCCCAAAGGTAACAAAGGACAGACCGAACCCAAGTAACGCCAGTCCTCCTCCCACAGCTCCAGTGCTGGCAAAGCCAATCTTGGCGATGTCAACCTCCCTTTCTTCCTTGTCCAGCTCATCTGCCAGTTCCAACAACTGCTGCACAACGTGGTCGTGGCGGGCGACGCAGTCAGTAGTCGCTTCTGACAGCTCGTCCAGCTTGGTATCTGCGACCGACATGACCCTTGTATCCTGTATGTAGGGCAGATTACAAATCGCGTTATTATTGTATGCAATGTTTAACTGCCAAGATACCAAGATATCTGTGGTTAAGCCTTTGACAAGGTAATATTTGATATTAAATGGTGTTTAGTTTCGTCAAGTTCAACTAAGTACTGCGAAAGTTCACAAATAATTATCATAATCATCAAACAGATAAACAGAAGAGTATAAGACTAAGAAATAATGTCTTTTTCATTAGCATCTGGTCATCCATTACACACATGCAGTACCGGGCAACACAGGGCGTGAAACAGCAATATTTGATATGTAGACTGAAAAATCAAGGAATTTTTATTTCGTGCCATATGTTTCATACTGATATCAAGGGCTACATTACATGCATAATATTAGTATCTCACAACAGGTGACGTCAGCTTTCTTTGTCAGGACTTTCTTTTGTCGGGAAGCATGTACGTAATATTTGTCAGAAATCAGTAATGTCACTATATGTACTTATATACGTACCTGTAGGTATACACTTGTTTTGAGTATATGCAGCTGAAGGTGGAATGTATCCTTTGAATACAACGTTGTTTCTGTTTCACTCACTTCACAATCTACCGCCCCCTACGTATGCATGTATCGAGTTCCCACCTGGCGCCACCTCGCCGCTATTAATGACGTAATTACTGCACATAAAATGACAAAATCCAATCCACAAGAAGTATCCACAAGCGATGTATTGACAATACATTGATATTCAATAGCGGCTAACGATAATAATGTCGAGAGAAAATCATACCATCAGTTTATTATGATTCTCACAGATCTACACAATTGAACTTCAACATTAAATTTATGTTGTTATTGCATGAACATTCAAGCTTTATGATTGCACTATGGACAAATGGCTGAAGTTTGTTAAGACTGCTTCTGTTTGCAACGAATGTCATGAAAGATGTGATCACTGACATGGCACATCTTGCTCAGTCTGTTTATGTCGGTATGCAGCAGCTGTGTAGATTCCGTGTAAGCGTGTCAAGTGTTTGATGCTCAGTGCAAGTAATGAACACATTTGCATCATGCATTCTCAGAATACGTCATTCATTGAAAGGCTCGTGTAAATTTTATTGGCGTATGCGTCTTGCCTCCATAGAGTTGTCGACGTTAGACAACAACAACCTTGACCTGTTTCCGTGGCCTGTATCACAAAAGCAAGAAATAGGAATGTGGTAGACCTATGTAATATGTGATGCAAATCTGAGGTTGCAGGCTCCAAATCTACAATAATCATAGCGTCCGTTGCCTAAACTACTACAAGCACATTACGTTTCGAGCGGTTGTATGTGATGCTCAGTTAGTGACTCTATTCCACGGCCTTTACGTCGTCGTTAGGTACAATACCCAGTTTGGTCGCCATCTTCCTGGACATACCTATTCCCCCTTCGTTGCCAACATTGTTCATACTTATATATACTTGTCTTTATTATCTGTTGGTAGACTTGATCAGGTCAAATTTGTGAATGAAAGGTATATTATGAATGGAAGACAGTCACAGACATTACGGACTGTAATGGCTTGATTAATCAGTACAACTCAACTTTGGCTTATTATGTTTAACCCATTAACTAAACAAGCATTTGGATACCAACATTGTACGATGAAAGTGGTTCATTCGTCAAGACATCGATACATAAATAGTTATGTATCAATAAAGGTATCAAGATATTACTACACCAATAGTAATTTATCAATAGAAGTATCAAGAGATTAATACACCAATAGTAATTTATCAATAGAAGTATCAAGAGATAAATACACCAATTAGGAGATAAACCTACTGTGTGGGAAAATCAGAGGTATATAACGAAATTATAATAGCTCTAAATAAACAATTTAGAGCGCTTATAATTTCGTTTTATAAACAATTCTAGAGCTATTATAAATTCCAATATACCTCTGATTTATCAGTAGGTTCTCTCCATTCTACCATGACAATTTTATGAACAATTTCAGGTGGAGCTCTTTCGTTGGTTACGAGTCAATACGTGAAGCGGCCTCGCATTCCAATCTCAAGTGGCATCGCCCGAAACGGGGTGATTGGTGGCAAACCGTCAATGACTAACAAACTCCAGATTCAGTAATAACAAATCACGTTTTGTTTTTTCAATGCATCAATCACCAATCATTAACTGATAAGTTGGAAAACATATATCAAATAAGTTTAAAAAGCTTGGTTCACATTTGAAAATTCCACCGTAGACGCTTTCCCCACCAGAATAATGGTAGCAACCTCATGGCCTTGATCTTTTCTCGGAAGTCATTGTTTACATTTACGCGCAAATTTGGAAAGATGCTACAGGAGAGCCTCTGACAGTTTGCGCAAGGTTAACCTGATTGTATGACTGAGATAGTCTTTGATATCTAATTACTGGTACTGGTACAAAATTTAAGAGTAGATGCGCTTTTGCTGTAACGAGAAGTCCGTGTTGTACCGAATTTAGATACTGTTGAATTTTGCGCCCTGCATGTCAACTTGACGATTTCACGCACCTCTACGTCTGCGTGCGACAGCTGTGGTGACTCTTACACACTCATGTGGGTACTTTGTGCTCAAATTCGATTCTACGGATATTATTTTCTATATTTTGGAAAGTGTTTTGTGACCTAGTGGCTTCAAAGTGTAGTGAATTCAAATTGAATCGGATTCGCTGGCATGTTCGCGAGTCTGTTGACAAAGAGCCAGATTTGTGGTGATATTTCCGAAAGGAAGGATCAGGACATGAGGGTGTACCTCTGGCATAAACACGGTAAGGTAATTAATTATACTTTAATAGACTACTTTAGATCAAGCAGTGTAATGGATAAGAGGGATCATGACTAAGCTAAATAACTTTTTCAACGATATTATACTTTTAGAATAAAAATATGTATGGCTAAACAGAACGGTTTGCAGATTCTGTAATTGTGTTTTACTACCGCTATATTTGAAACAGTACAAATTTCAAAATATCATTTTGTTTGAATTGATATCCCAACTGATTATTTATGTGGACGGAAGGCATTAAAATTTCTTCGACGTTCGATGTTAATGCATCCTCCGTTACCGGATCAAGATCAGTAGCGATATCACTGACGAAAGCTGATAATAAATTTAACACGGAAATTATGTAGCAGTCTATTGCTGGATCTATTCTGACATAACACAGAATCAATCAACGTAAACATATTTGTTTTTGCTGAAGTTTTATTCGGAAAGCAGACGTTTTGATCTTGTTCGACCGAATATTTGTTTCCATGCTTTCGAAGTACTTTTGTATGTATAAACACCTATTGCTGTGATTTACGCAAGTAGTGAGTCGAGCCCGTCATCGCTAAATCCATCTTTAAAGACATATGTGTAATTTCCGACAGCAAAATCGCCGTAATTTATCGATGCATCGGTAGGTTGTTTGGTGTCCGCCATGTTGGTGGGCAGACAAAAATAGTACATTACCGTAAACCATGTATGATTGCGCACGGAAAATCAGAGTCCTGTATAACGTGATTATATACCTCTGAATGACTTTAATTAACCAATCACAATCCAGTGTTTACTGAAGTCATGGTAGAATAGTAATTTATCAATAGAAGTATCAAGAGATAAACACACCAATAGTAATTTATGAATAGAAGTATCACGAGATAAATACACCAATAGTAATTTACCAATAGAAGTATCAAGAGATAAACACACCAATAGTAATTTATGAATAGAAGTATCAAGAGATAAATACACCAATAGTAATTTATCAATAGAAGTATCAGAGATAAACACACCAATAGTAATTTATCAATAGAAGTATCAAGAGATAAATGCACCAATAGTAATTTACCAATACAAGTATCAAGAGATAAACACACCAATAGTAATTTATCAATAGAAGTATCAGAGATAAATACACCAATAGTAATTTATCAATAAAAGTATCAAGAGATAAATACACCAATAGTAATTTATCGATAGAAGTATCAAGAGATACGCTTCGTCCCAAATTAACCTAACAGACATTCACAACAAATAGTTTTTCCAAAAGAGATTATGAAATAACTCGCGAAATATGTAAGCTTTGATTCAATCAAATTCTCTTGCATATTTGAACTGCTTTGAAATATAGATTGAGAGCTCTGGTATCCGATGACAGGTAACGTGACAAATCGTTAACACCCCGCCCCCTTGGCGTCCCCCCTTTACAAATCACCATCCCCATCCCCACACCTATTAAGTCGCTGTGGTGTGGTGACATCATGTGTGATCTCGACCCCACACCTCTGAAGGGAACTATAGGCATTACCGAGGACTGAAAGGTGTTGATCCATTAATTACCTGATTACTGCAGTGGCATTTTGCTGGCAACTCAGTAGTAGTAAATGCAATGGGGCTACGGGATTAGGGCCTCCCCAAGGGCTCAATTGTTTACATTGAGCCCTTGGGGGGACCTGGTCCCGTAGCCCCATTGTATATACTACTAATGTCCATTATCCACATTTCCAGTGATCATCTTATTAAATATCATTTCAATACTGAACTTCAATGCACATTGTTCTTGCCAGAGTCAAGTAATTAAACCAATTCGAACCTATACAGGTAGGTTGCTGAATTGTTTGAATGTATTCCACCATGCTAATGCTGAATCCAGTATATGTATTTTAAAATTTCATTTCTGAAACCTTGTAGTGATGTGTATATCTAATATCATTGAACTGACAAATGTCGATCTGGACGACCTAGGCCACAACTGGCGCACTGGACAGTGGTCATACATAGTGCTTCTCAAATTGGAGATGAACTTCACAGAGCTGCAGGTGTTTGAGTGAGACACAGGTCGTCGCTGGACAATCGTTACGTTTGCGAACGAATCAAAATTTGTCCGCAACGGAGTGTAGCGTGGACGGAACGAGCGTTTTCATGCTGTTAACGTTAGACATAACAATTAGATAAGGGGTTGCTCAGTTATAGTGAAGGGTGGGATCACTATGGCTGGTAGAACACCCTGGAGGCGTACTTAAAGTGCAATCTGCACCAAACACACCGCCCTCTCTCAACGTACTTGGCGCTGCTCTTCAAGAAGAATGGGATGAAACAAGCCAAGCTGATGTTGGCCATTTGTATAGTTGAAGCCTCGTCCAATGCGGGAGTGTGTTAAGAATAGAGGTTATAGTGATAAGTGTGACTTCTTACAGTGAATGATGTGATAGACTGTAGCTTATCATATGACAATCAATATCTATGGCCATTTAACGTTCAACAACAAATGCATATCTCAGCCAGATTCCTGTTACAATGTTAAACTATTTATCACTTTGAAGATTTGAAATATCTATGGTGGTGACACCTTTATATCGAATGTCCCCTACTTTTTTGTAATAGTGTATATTGATATTTCATGCTTATTCTATTCCATGAGTTGCGAAGACTAGGAGTGGAACTTGTGGGTTGTTTTGTTTTTTGTGGCACTGATCTCGTTAAAGGTTTTGTGCAATCTGATGAATTAAAATCGTCTATCAAATGTCTGTAGATCATTTCACCTCTCGCTGCTTTATTTAAGGAGTTTCAACTTAATTCACGAAAAGAATTGTCTGCTCTGTTTTTATTGTATTTAGATATTCTTCATAAAAGCCTTAGCTAGAAGGTCAAAGGGTAAAACAAGATGATTTGTGCATTTGTTAATTATATCAAAGGTAAAACCTGCGAGTCCAACCATTCTCCAATATCTACACACAGAGTGCGACCTGTTGAGTGCTGCCGCAATGCCATTTGTAAAGTCCAGATGAGCGTTGGGCGATCGTCGAGGGTATTTATTGTTATTTGCACCTTCAGAAATCACTGAACCGATAGTACAGTCCTATTCTAAACCAGACATCTGTTTTGGAAAGCTTGTCACCCTTTGTGGCAATATATAGATACGTACAGACATCTCTGTAAACGGGCAATTGGTTTGAACACTGTAAAAGCAATGCTTGACTAATCGTGATGAATAAATTAAATTTATCAAGCCCTTATCCCACACAAAATACATTCAGAACTCGGTCACCTTACCTCAGTTCGTGATCGGAATACCCACAGTGCCCTCTTTCTTGTCATCCCAGGTCTTGTCGATTTAACGTTGTAAGATCCACCATTCTCTGTCTTCCAGTAAGTACACACAGTCCGCCCTTGTCTCGTGTGATTGGCATCAGTGTTCTATGTGTAATGTAACCAAGTCTGGCTTCTGGTTTTCGATGTTTACAATGTCCAAGTGAGCTGTTCTGAGGCTGCACGAGCTCGTAATTGTAGACTTACTATTTATGATAATATATTTTCAGTATTTAGCTTCTATCACGTTTGATCCTGTCACATATTGTACAGATGGGTCGCATTCATAAATATTTTTTAGACCGTTTAGAACGTCTGAAGTCTAAAACATTATGAGAAACACAAAAAATGTACACTTTAATCTGAAGATGTTCCAAGTCATGCTTTGAGGGTTATGAGTACTTGAGATGACTTTTTGAGAACGTCCTTAAGTCTTCAAAATGGCCGCCACTAACTGCTGGTGTTTGTCTTCAAGTTCATTATCATGTTCATTCAATATGCTACTACCATTTCATAACGAATCATTTGGGAACAAAGAAAACGTTCAGCATGCAAACTTTTTTGAAAACCCTTTATAATTCAAGCTCTGATGCCGAAGACAACCATTCACATTCGATCTATTGATTTAATGTGTGGGTCTGAATGGATCTGATACTGATATCTTTAACGTTGCAGTTGGTCAAAGTTCTTACTAAAGAAGTGACCCATTCCATCTCAATGATGGTTTTAGTATGTCGGGCAGGCAGGGTAGCCCAGAGGACAATGTGTTTCTTCGTCACGTCGATGGCCTGTGTATATTTACTCACTTGGGTGTATCATGGTTGCTTTGAAGACATTATTAGATTTAATATGAGAACATCTGACAATTACATGATCCTAACATGCTTAAATCTGAAGTTACCAACATGCTGCAAGCACAATATAAATGTACTCGAGGATAGCAGAGTTATATTTGGATTGACTCGTGAATATCCGGGTTAGAAGTGATCTTCAGCAACCCATGCTTGTCGTAAGAGGCGACTAACGGGATCAGGTGGTCAGGCTCACTGACTTGGTTGACACTTGTTGCTGATCACTGGATTGTCTGGTCTAGAGTCGATTGTTTACAGACCACAGCCATATAGCAGGGATATTGCTGAGTGGGGCGTTAAACAACAAACAAAATATGTGTGGCCGTCGAACTGCTTTCCCTCAGTACAGTGTGTGACAATATTGTATGTGAACGTAATGACATTCATACTTGAGTGCTGCAGCGTCTATGGGTAAAATGTTGTCAACGCTCTCAAAACACTCATGTGAAAGCCGTCACTCTTCGATATTGTCACAGCGAATGCGTAAATCTTTTGAGGTTAGATCTAAAAGACCATATAAACTCAGTCAGGTTGGATGAGCTGGGTTATTAATGGCATATCAATAGGAAATCAAATGTGGTGTGAGTTTAGTTTTACGCCGCTTTTAGCAATATTCCAGGGGTACACCAGAAATGGGCTTCACTCATTGTACCCATTTGGGGAACCGAACCCGTGCCTTCGGCGTGACGAGTGAACGCCTTAGCCACTATGCTACCACAAAAACCTGACTCGGCCGTTGTCAACAACATCTAATAAGAGAGCGCTGTAAGGGTAGGTAAAAAGTTGCCACATTTCTACAAGCTGCGCAGAAAACTATTGATGCAGTAAGATTCCGTCTTTGGACTTAGACAAAGCCTCTGTGAATATATCTACATAGCTCTTGACCCTCAGATTTCATGGCACTGACTGTCTGAAAGACGCTAAAATCACCGTCAGGTCGGTATTCATTGCTTCATGAATGCATGTTTTGAGTAGCAATCCCAGCTGCGAGGGAGCGTGATTGTGTTTGAATAGTATTCCGGTCACGGCGAGACACCTTGATGTCAGAGTAAACCATAGAATAATACAGGGCTCAGATCTTTACCACAATACTTAAACTATTGAACACACGATGAAATTTGCCAAGCCTACAAACACAATTGGGGCAAACAGGATTCGGACTAAATATCAAGGGTTTCTGACTTGCCCCGGGACAGCAACTTTGCATAGCACTAGTCCAGTTCCTAAGACGACAGAACCTCTGGGATACGAGTCAAGATGTATATATAAGGGGACAGTTGGGTAGCCTAGTGGTTAAAGTGTTTGCTGGTCACGCCAAAGACCCGGGTTCGTTTCCCCACATAGATACAATGTATGAAGCCCATTTCTGATGACAAATTTTGTTGAGCATTATACTTAATCTCATCTGAGTCGATTCTTCACATTACAAAAGGATTTAATCTGTGACACAATAGAAATTATATTTCATGTGCCCAAGCACCTCTCGTTTATTCAGCGTCATGACCAAGAATCAGAGAAGACCGGTAGTACTTACTGCCTTCCCACATGACCACATCAACACCTTCCTACAACAGCAGGAACCACGACTTGACCTCCGGCGGGTTCTACTAAAAAATTGGTGTAAGTGTATATGGATTTGTCTCGATTTGTATTTGAGTCTCAATCAGTGTTTGAAGTCCCAGTACATTTGATGATCACGTCACGCTGACTTTGTGTGCTGGCCGGGAGTGTGTGTACGAATCCCGCATGGGACTCAACCTAACAAAAGTAGTAGAATCGGTCCCTTATTGAGAAAGTGTAATTCCAAATATAACATATGTTTGGTCACCTGAGACTCTTTGCCCGTCGTTTAGTTTCAGCGCATGTAAGTGGTGATTCAGGATTATAAACAAACGATGTATACATAACAACACTGTGTGTCAGGCGTAACTTGTAATACTTCACCTTCTAGAAACATCGTGGATCGGTAAGCTAGAACATAACTAAAGTAGTATATGTTATGAAGTAGTGTGTACTGTTTTATTGAACTACTCTGAGTCATGTAGTATTGTGTACATATTTTTTATCGAACCACTGATATCAGTTGTAAAGTAAAGTGTGTAGGTTTTCTTTATTGAACCACTGCTACCAACTGTGTAGTAAACTGTAAATGATTGTTGAATTACTGATACTGTATCGCAGTGTGTACATGTTTGTAACCACTGTATAGTGTTGTGTTTGGGTTCCCACGGGACCATAGATACACATAAAGGTCGGGCATAGAGTCTGAATGAATCACCTACATCCACAGTGTAGCAATATGCTTGTTTACCAAGATATTTTTAAACAAATTATTGACATCATCAACTGTTAAGTAATGAACCTTGCATATCAGCAGTGGAGCAATCTGCGCAGATGATTTACTAATGCACTCCTACTAGAGTAGCAGTGTGTACTGCTCATATCAACAGTATAACGATATGTTTCTGTGACAGGGAGCTCTGAGTATCTCCAGACCCCGGACAGAACCTACTGGAAAGATGTAGAAGTCTACTTTGGATCCTCAGTACACGTGTGTCAGAACTTACACCTGCTGCCCAATCTGAGGTGGATCCAAACGGCGGAGGCAGGTGAGACTAGATGACGGAATCCCGACACACAGACATCAACACCACCACCACATTCCCCTAGGTTCACAGGAAATTGTAACTAACATATTGGACGACGTTCTGCACTCTTCAGTAGCACAGATAACAAATTGAGACGCCTTCCCTTTTCAGTTGTGTTATGCAATTAATGTTTAGTGTACCCTCCAATGCACGGCAGCTGCTTGTGTTCTTTGAATAGAACTAAATACTACATGTAAACTTCCACATAGATTTCATTCATTCCAGGAGTTGATGCAGTGCTGAAGATCAAACGGGACGTAAGTAATCATTCTGAAAATACTTAAAAGTCGAGTCGTTTTGTCAGGCCTGAGTTGCTGGTGTGAAAGCCTATTTATGCTGCCATTAACATCCTGATTCAGCTGCCACCCGGGATCACGGTGACCCGTAACGCCATGACGTTCCAATCTCCGATCTCCCAGTATGTCATTGGTCAAATCATCTCTGCCAACATGAACTTCCGACACTTTCAGAGGCAGCAAAACCAACGCACGTGGGACAGGCATGTGTACATCTTAGACATCACTTATAAATGACTTATGAGCTTTATAACGTAGATTAACCACTGATACTTTAGGTAGAATCCCAATTTTGCATATCACCTTATTTCCGGAAGGTTCCTCGTATGTACTACATGTGACTTGCATTGATCAGAAAATAACTCAAACCACCATTGTCTTAACCTGGCCTTACCCAGGACTCCTGAAATCACTTTACTTACCTTCCCTTGTGCATCCATATAGACATTTTTCATGATATGACGCCATGAGTCGAAGATGTCAAAACTCGGAAATGTATAGTCTATACGAACAGAACTGTCTTCACTACCCGCATGATCGATGCTGGCTAAACTATTAACAAACAGAAATGGTTATTCGATGAAAATGTATACAGGTACAGGTATAGTTACCGTAAACGTTCTACCCTTAACCTGTTTCGGTGAGGATATTCAACCTTGTAACGTTTTGAAAATGTTGTAATTAGTTTGTTAAAAACATTTTTCAGATGTATACTTTCTTTTCACCGGAGTTGACTAATATCTCTGAAACAACATGTAGAGGTTGTTGAAAACATCTTTCAGAACAACCCCCGATTCTGGATTGAAGCACCTCAGCTCGTGTACGGTGGGGATACTGGGACTGGGAGCTATTGGCAGCGAAGGTAGACAAAACTCAAGAAACTTGTCCACATTATTCACCTTTCTATCGGATATTTGATGACACTGTTGAAAATAAAAAGCACTGATTAAAGAATTGTCTCAATGAAAATACCTCAGTATGCAAACACGATCCCTTCACTTCGCTTTTACAGCAGATATAGCCAAGGCGATAAAACCCTTTCCATTTCAATAAGAAATCCACTATAAAAGCTGATTCGATTGCATTAACTATATCACGAGCATGTGTTTATGAATCACAATCATATACTGATGATACCGGGTGTTCGCGAAAGGTGAGCATACTCCGTCCCTCTGGTAGTGACAAGGCTAGCGACAATGGTGTCATTCTTTGTCACTGTTTACCTGGAGGATGTCGATCAAATACATTTGTACATAACGACATTATATATTCAAAAGTTATCTTGATAGTCAATGACTATTTGAAATAAACTGCAGTTTGTATACGTTGTGTTTGGGTTTTCAGTTGCCCGTGCATGTAAATACTGGGATATGACTGTGTGGGGTTTGAAAAGATCTGAAGTCAAGAAAGAAGACAGGAGGACATTTGTGGATGAGTACAGGTATAACAAAAGACTGTTCTTCTGTATGTGTGCGTAACACTGTGTGAGGTGGAGTCTTCCCACTGCGGTAAGATGTTGATGCTTTAAATGTACAGTGCACTAAATGACTCTCTGACGTCTTAGGGACCTCTCTTTGTACAGTTAGGATTTTCATTGACAACGACAGTTCTTTCCTGCAGAAAGGGTAGAAAATAAGCTATATGTACGTCATTTTTTAGCCCAAACAACCTTATATTATCTACCCGAGTTACTGTAGCATATCTGACTGGAATTCATCCAGAAACACCTGTGATCTACATGATCTCCTATATTGTACATGTTATATACAGACAACAATGTGAACTACTCGATCTCCTGTCGCCTGTAAAGTGCATGTTTTATATAAAGACAACCATGTGATCTGCTTGAACTACTGTCCTCCTGTGATTTCCTGGTCAACATTCTACCGTCTACACCTGAAACTCGGGGTCTTCTGAGTGGAGACGTGCTTTCCCACTGTAGGAAGAAGGTAAGGAGAAATGAAGCTGTGGGTCACCCTTTCTTCTGCCGTCTCCATCCAACAGCTCATGATGTCGAGCAGGATGATTTTGTTTGTATTTCTATTCAAATGTATGCCAAAATACAAACATACAATACACATATAACATTATACATTGTGAAATGAAATAAAACAAATCTTTTGTATTATAAATATACTGACACACATTGAAAACGCAAAATCAAATTCAAATTCAAATGAGGAAAACTTAACAAACAACAATACTTGGATGAAAATTGTTCTGCAAATATGTTGAGAATTTCATTGTGCTTCATTTTCATAAATAATGATTGCAAGAGTTCCGCCAATATGACTGACACGTCAAGCGTCACACACAGACACACACACACACCCCCCCTTACGTCCGTCAGTAGCGAGTGTGACCTCCCTGAGCCTGTACACATGCACGGAGTCGACGTGGCATGGATTCGCACAAACGTCGAATAGGTCCTTTGGGGATGTGCTGCCACTACTGTTGTAAAGCCAGGGTCAACTCAGCAACGTTGTTTGGCTGACGTTGACGTTGACATTGATGAATCCGGCGACCAAGCTCATGTTCATGTTGCTGCCTGTAGACGCGTTGTCTGCCATCTGCAAATGACACACAGAACCTGGACCCATTGAAAAAACACCCACTGGTTGGAGATTCATGGTGGTTGGAGGCTATGTTGCTGTGCAAACAGGAGTCTGTTGACTCGATGACGTTGCGTAATGACGTTTCCAGAGTCTTTTGATGGTGGATGGGCTCACTCCGAAGTGGTGGGTGACCTCATTTTGTGATGTTCCCACCAACAGCATCCCGATAGCTTGTTCCCTCTGCTGTTCACTGAGCCGTGGCATTGTGTGACTGCTAGTGAAACGGTTGAACCATAGTGCCTTTTATGCGTCCAAAACCTGGCTTTGCATGTGTATGTCATGATAATCATGCACCCCAACAGGTCCAAGGAATATGCCAGAGTTGTGTTTTCATGAACTGTACCCATGCCAGAAACACGAAAAGGGTTCGAACCCAAATGTGCATATGGTTTTATTCGGCAACCTCACATCACTATATTTTCGTGTGGTAAATGAAATTGCTTCACAAAACTTTGTTAGAAATTGCCAAAATGGGTTTTGCGTTTTCAATGTGTGTCAGTATACATTGATGTGCTGTTAAATAATTTATGTATCTTGTGTGTGTTTTAATGTACGTATTGTATGATGTGGAGTCATCATCTTCAACAGCCTCTGTTCATCAACGTTGGACGCGGAGACATAATTGACGATGAGAGTCTCCTTTCAGCACTCAGGTAATCATTGTCATTCCGTTATATTCTGCAGGCTTTCTGTAGTACAGATTAGATCCTTGTCACCACGAGTAAGTCGTGAAGATGTGGAATATTGTGTTTTGTCCATGTAAGGGAATAAAACCCCTGGTATCCATGCTGCACCTCAACCATGGATCCATCCTCGAAGTAACTAATTATCGACATGCGTGAATGTTAAAAGATGACAATAGAGCTTACTATCACAGGTGATCTTTTCCCATTGACACATAATACTATGGAGACTATACCTGTGTTTAGAAGAGGATGGCTGTCGGGGGCTGTGCTGGACATCTTTACGGAGGAGCCCTTGTCTCGAGATAGTCCTCTGTGGGGAGAGAGGGACGTGGTGATCACACCCCACGTATCTAACCAAAGTGATTGTATGGACTCATACAAAAAGGTACACTTAGTAATACAAACACTCTGAGATCTTTAAGTTGTAATGTAGAACAATGACATTCATGTAGTGGAAATGCACTTCATGATGATTTGTTCTCTATTCCGTGAAAGGCAAACTGGCGGTATTCGTTTGTTGTGTAATTTTCCATCGTCATGATGTCGGTCTGTAAATAGTCGAATCTGGACTAAAACTCCAGTGATTGACATCATGAGCACCGAAATATGAAGTGTATCTCATACCCCGATCTAGTTAGTTGCCTCTGACGAAGATCAATCGTAACCCTGACCTGTACGTGTGTGTTCAAACGCAGTAACAAGCATATTAACACAATGCCATGATACTACGACCTGTTTAAAATTGAACATGACAACACCATGCTTATCGCATGTATTAATTATATTGTTCTTTTGCAGTTGGCGTCCATGTTTTTGGCCAACTATAATCGTTACCTGAACGGACAAGCACTGGAGAATGTTGTAAACATTGACAGGGGATACTGAACGATATGTCTACTGAAGCACGTGGTCGGTTCAGCGTTTCTGTTGGGTTGTTGCTTTGACAGTTACATTCAAACGTAACAGTTCACTTTAATGCTGTTGACTGCAAGCACTTGGACTTTAAACTCTTTGAACGATTTGTTGGATATTTCAGCGTTATTATATACATGTTTTACGAGTGTTTACGTTCAGAAACAATCCCGAGGAGCAGTGCTAAATTTGATATAAACACCGGAATCCATTGATTCATGAATTTGGTGAAACGGACATATAATATATCGTATCTGTATGCAAGCATTTGCAAAAGAGCTTCTCATGTATCAAGTGGCTGATATTTATCCAGTTTAAATGGATACAATTTCAAATTATAAATCTACGTATAAGTAAAGTTAGCAAAGTGTGAGTAGTATATATGGACATTGTAAAAACGTTTTGCGTTGTTTCATCACCTATTTAAATGACATAATAAACACTACAGGTGTTACTCGATGCTGTAAACGGTTGTGAATAATAAATTGTGGCCGCAGATATTTGTCAATATTCGACCTCTTTGTGATTCTTGTTACTTCATCAAGGCAGTTGAATTACAACACGTTCACTATAGGTATGTCTTATGAGAAGAAACTGTATCAAATAGGAGCACTTATCTGAATGTGCTTCGTGCAATACACAAATGATACTGTTCGCGAAGAACACTTAGCTTAACATCTCAAATCAGTTAGACGTATGAACTGATGTTATTATTTTTAAATATCATCTCGTTTGTGCGAGTGACCTTGGTATGCTGGATAGATCGCTCGGGCTACTTAGTAAAGCAGTCAACAATGCCAGGATTAACTGATCAACCCCAGGCTGCTGCATAGATATGCTCAGTTTTATAACACAGTCTGTGTCCTGTGTCATCGGATCACATGGCCCCAGGGTTGGACCACGCCCCATTTCTCGAAACAAACTGAAGTCTGAGTTTTGATATTAACATCAAATATATCAGACTCTTTGAGTTTAATCGACATATTACTTATTTTTTTGCTCTTTTTTTATTTGAGACATGCAGTTGAGTTAAGAATTCAGCTGTTCAAAATTGCCAGTTTGAAATTTGAGTAAAAACTTAAGTTTGTTTCGAGAAATCGGGGCCAGGGTTCATAGTATATTCTTGTGGTAGAACACAGAAATGGTTATGTTTATCTACATCAGTCATGGTTATATCCCCAAATGATCTAAAACAGAACGTATTTGATCATTTGATTAATTGTTAATTTAGACAATTTGGAATTTGAGTATTTGCACACAAAGCTCAGGTTTGTGCTTCATGCTCAGCAAGGATTTTGTTTCATTTGCACTTAGCCTCATCATCAGCTGGCATATTTCAATTACATCTGTATTTTAATTACGTTGTAACGCTACGTCTTTCTGCAAACGGAAAATAACCTTTTAGTGATGAGAGCCTATCAGTGTCACGTGAGTCTTGTCGCATCAATTCAGAACACCTACATCAATGTAACAGGCGAGCATATCATGCGCATCGTGTAACCGATAACAATAGCAATGTACAAGACCGATAGGGTTAAACAAAACTATACACTTTGTATGTATACAGTCATTGTACATGTATTGACATTTAACAACATTGGACAAATGCTAGTTCATAGATTTCGCCAATTTTCTTATGAGTTCAGCAACTTCGGAGGGTTTTCTGTTATGAACTTTGATCCCATAGTAAATGATGGAACCAATGTCAATGACCACGCCTACCACGGACAAGACAACGCCTCCTATTTGCACAGCTTTAACCCCAGCTTGAAAAGCTTCGTCGCCTTCTTTGGCTAGATTTTCCCTACATCTACGACTTTTGCTGCAGCGGTTGTAAGCCGCTGTCATCAACATCTTGATACTGGCTATGGTGTCTACAAACTTGCGACCGTCTGAAATAACACTACTTATTGTCATTTCCATTTCAGTGTTATCCTTAAATGATTTCCACACCTCTTGGTCCTCATCAGGTAGCAGTGTACAAAACGATTCCAAAACATGCGAAAACGATTTGAGTGAATTTGAATAGGCCTGAACAGCTGCCTTGGCCTCCTTCAAGTTTTGTTTTTTCATGATCTTCTCTGTGATCGTTGTCGCCAGTCCTCCAACCCCGCTGACGGCGGATATACCCATTCACATTCACAAATTTGACCTGATCAAGTCTTCCAAAAGATAATAAGGACAAGTATATATAAGTATGAACAATGTTGGCAACGAAGGGGGGATAGATATGGATGCTAAATTACTATTGGTGTGTTAATCTCTTGATACTTCTATCGGTAAATTACTATTGGTGTGTTGTTGATACTTCTATTGATAAATTACTATTGGTGTGTTAATCTCTTGATACTTCTATGTAAATTACTATTGGTGTGTTTATCTCTTGATGCTTCTATTGATAAATTACTATTGGTGTGTTTATCCTTGATACTTCCTTTGATAAATTCCTATTGGTGTGTTAATCTCTTGATACTTCTTTTGATAAATTACTATTGGTGTGTTTATCTCTTGATACTTCTTTTGATAAATTACTATTGGTGTGTTTATCTCTTGATACTTCTATTGGTAAATTACTATTGGTGTGTTTATCGCTTGATACTTCTATTGGTAAATTACTATTGGTGTGTTTATCTCTTGATGCTTCTATTGATAAATTACTATTGGTGTGTTTATCTCTTGATACTTCTATCGGTAAGTTACTATTGGTGTGTTAATCTCTTGATACTTCTATTGGTAAATTACTATTGGTGTGTTAATCTCTTGATATTTTATTGGTAAATTACTATTGGTGTGTTTATCTCTTGATACATCTTTTGATAAATTACTATTGGTGTGTTTATCTCTTGATTCTTCTATTGGTAAATTACTATTGGTGTGTTAATCTCTTGATACTTCTATTGATAAATTCCTATTGGTGTGTTTATCTCTTGATACTTCTATTTATAAATTCCTATTGGTGTGTTTATCTCTTGATACTTCTTTTGATAAATTCCTATTGGTGTGTTAATCTCTTGATACTTCTTTTGATAAATTACTATTGGTGTGTTAATCTCTCGATACCTTTATTGATACATTACTATTTATGTATCGATGTCTTGATGCATGAACCACTTTCATCGTACAATGTTGAACAACTGTTGTCAGTGTTGTCACTGAGGTGTCATTAAACATCCATAGTTAGCATCCATATCTATTCCACCTTCGTTGCCAACATTGTTCATACTTATATATACTTGTCCTTATTATCTTTTGGTAGACTTGATCAGGTCAAATTTGTGAATGAAAGTTATATTATGAAAGGAAGACAGTCACACACATTACGGACTGTAATGGCTTGATTAATCAGTACAACTCAACTTTGGCTTATCATGTTTAATCCATAAACTAAACAAGCATTTGGATACCAACACTGTGTCGTTCCATTTCACCATCAGTTCAAAGTGTAATGTATCAATAAAGGTATCAAGAGATTAATACACCAATAGTAATTTATCGATAGAAGTATCAAGAGATAAATACACCAATAGTAATTTATCAATAGAAGTATCAAAAGATACGCTTCGTCCCAAATTAACCTAACAGACATTCACAACAAATAGTTTTTCCAAAAGAGATTATCAAATAACTCGAGAAATATGTAAGCTTTGATTCAATCAAATTCTCTTGCATATTTGAACTGCTTTGAAATATAGATTGAGAGCTCTGGTATCCGATGATAGGTAAGGTGACAAATCGTTAAGACCCCACCCCCCTTGGCGTCCCCCCTTTACAAATCACCATCCCCATCCCCACACCTATTAAGTCGCTGTGGTGTGGTGACATCATGTGTGATCTCGACCCCACACCTCTGAAGGGAACTATAGGCATTACCGAGGACTGAAAGGTGTTGATCCATTAATTACCTGATTACTGCAGTGGCTTCACTGTCCATTGTCCACATTTTCAGTGGCCATCTAATTAAATATCATCTCAATACTGAACTTCCATGCTAATTGTTTTTGCACGAGTCAAGTAATTAAACCAATTCGAACCTATACAGGTAGGTTGCTGAATTGTTTGAATGTATTCCACCATGCAAATGCTGAATCTAGTCTATGTATTTTAAAATTTCATTTCTGAAACCTTGTAGTGATGTGTATATCAAATATATTTGAACTGACAAATGTCGATCTGGACGACCAAAGGCAAAAACTGGCGCACTGGATAGTGGTCATACATAGTGCTTCTCAAATTGGAGATGAACTTCACAGAGCTGCAGGCGTTTGAGTGAGACACAGGTCGTCGCTGGGCAAACGTTACGTTTGCGAACGAATCAAAATTTGTCCGCAACGGAGTGTAGCATGGACAGAACGAGCGTTTTCATGCTGTTAACGTTAGACATAACAATCAGATTGGGGGTGGCTCAGTTATAGTGAAGGGTGGGATCACTATGGCTGGTAGAACACCTGTATATGTTATTCCTGGTCGTGTTACTAATCAGTCGAACTGCTTTCCCTCAGTACAGAGTGTGACAATATTGTCTGTGAATCTAATGACATATTCATACGGAGAGTAATGCAGCTTTTAGGGGTAAAATGTTGTCAACGCTCTCAAAACACTCATGTGAAAGACGTCACTCTTCGATATTGTCACAGCGAATGCGTAAATCTTTTGAGGTTAGATCTAAAAGACCATAAAATCTCAGTCAGGTTGGATGGGTGGGTTATTAATGGTCTATCAATAGGAAATTAAATATGGTTTCGAGTGGTTTTGTAAAAGACAAAAAATGGGAGTGAGTTTAGCTTTACGCCGCTTTTAGCAATAGTCTTGCAATATCACGGCGGAGGACACCAGAATGGGCTTCACTCATTGTACCCATTTGGGGAATCGAACCCGTGCCTTCGGCGTGACGAGTGAACGCCTTAGCCACTATGCTACCACAAAAACCTGACTCGGCCGTTGTCAACACCATCTAATAAGATAGCGCTGCAAGGGTAGGTAAAAAGTTGCAATATTTCTACAAGCTGCGCAGAATAC